TAAGAATTCAAAACCTATCCCTTTTTTGATCTTTTCAATATTACTGTAAAGAAAATCGATTATATATAAATGTTTGTTATAAAGTTATTATATTTACTTACGTAAAAAGCTTCGTATTGTATTGAGTAGTTTGGTTTGTATCCAAGTAAGTCATGTTCTAAAAAATGAAAGAGAAATAAATAGAATAAACTGTATTTTAACTAGTCTAATCATTTATTTTAGTTACTCTTCAACGCATAACCGTTTTTGAAGAAATAAAAACATTTACAATGCAGATCTGCACTGAACTAAAGTCATTTAGTAGAAATTCGATACTGTTCAATTTTGACGTATGATCATGAAGTATAAAGTTTTTTTTATAAGTGTAAAAAAATATTTTTACTTACACGTTGAATAAGTGATTGAAAGAGTAAAACACTCATACGAGATGCCTGTCGTTCCGTAGCAACTGTCCAACAGATATATTCAAGAGAAGAACTTAGAAATGTAAAAATGCTGAAACCTACAATGACATACAAAAGCAACAAATCGCTTGTTTTTTTTAAATTGAATTAGCCTGTTTAATAGACTTACCGAAGAACAAATAAACTAGATGCATAACATTTTCATGAAACAAAGGCGTTAATGGAGCTAATGTTGATGAAATAGTTTTATTATCATAATGGCATAGTCTACGAATGAAAAACTTCAAAAGATTCAAAATAAGAATATTTTTCATTCAATTACTTATGTAATCGATCATAATTTAATGGATCAAGATTAATACCAAGAGGACATAAAGTATTATTGATAATTCCAGATTCTAAATTTTTATATTGATTATCACAATCAACAGCAAATGATGTAGTGGCAAATAATCCCGTGATTCGACCAAAAAGAATTACATTCGCGATAACACCAACTGCATGTCCCAACATGAAACACAGACCAAGAATTAAAAGAAGAATATCAATACAATCAGCAAATCGAAACTATCATAAAATGAAATGAATTAATTCATATATATATATATATATATTAAAAAGAAAAACAACATGCTTTTAATTTAGTATTTTTATTACTTTCTCTTATGATATTTCCTGTTTGAGTACACTTACTAATTGAAAAACACTGACTGATATATCCTTAGTAGTATGTTTGATCTCATCATTTAATTTTTTATTATTAGCATCAGTCTTTTGTCGATTCAAATATTGACGCCAATCAAATAGGCTATAAATAATGATGAATTCATTACATTGTTATCAATATTATATATTCTTCTAATCATACCTCTTGCTTTCATTGTCGCTATCATTGTCAATAGATAATTCGTTATGTATCGTTAATAGTGGCTCTTTTTCACTCATATCCTTTTCAAATATACACTATTATGAAACGTGAAGCTTATTATGGATCAATTTGTATTATTAAGAAGAGTAAATCAATACGCTTTGCTTCACTGATTTTGCGTCCTTTCACCATCTTTTCTGTTTTCTGTCATGTTGTCAAAACAATGTTGACAATAGTATATTAAAGACAAAAATTTTTTTTTTGATAGATGTAAATGTAGTTGTTATTTTCTTCTTACCTGTCACGTAAGAGTAATATGGTATTATTAAAGACTCAAGGACAGTGAATTCAACGATTGGTATAGACAAGAAAAAAAGAAACAATAAATTGTCGATTGCTTTTAATCTCTATACAACCATGAATTAAATAAATTAAAGAGGTATGAGCAGTTAAAACCATCAATCACAATTTTATTTTAAGACTATCATTCATTTCCAAATAGTTACATAATACCAATGATATGTTTTATAAGACTAGATACAATATTCATTAATAATATAATTGTATTTACAAATCAATATTATACATAATCAAAGAAATGCTATTATAGATTGGTTATGACTCATAAATCTTTAAAATAACGAATTTCTTAAACATATTACAAAAAATATATCATATTAGATATTTTTAAATGAATAAGTGAAATATTTTTGTTCGGGTGTGGGTGATAGTGGGTGTGAGCGATCAACATAGTAAATAACGAAATATTCATTTGACGTAAACTCTCAAGATTTTTAATCTATTAATATAAATTAACAAAAGAGAATTCTGTCATCACCAGATTTTCGTGTTTTCAATATTGGAAACCAGTCTCAGTGGCGTCTATCTTCCTTTTCTCTATTTTTAGAAATATTTTTTCTATTTGGATTGGTTATACAAAACTAAAATAAATTAATCTTTAGCTTTACTCGTTTTATTCAATTAATCTGAAAAAAAACTCAGAACTTTTCAATATCGTATAAATAGTTAACTTTTGCACAGTTAATTCGTGTTGTATCTCTTATAAAGTTGTTCGTTACTCTTTGAAGAGAAGGAAAATAAACATTAAGAGTAATATAATTTGCTAGACATGTTTTAGTATCGATTAAAAATTGCTCGATATAATCATCATGAGTCGAATGAAGAGACAGTAGAATAAGATGAGAATATTTAATAAGTGATAAATTGTGTTCATCTTTCTTTAATTTTTCACATTGTTTGTGATTTTGTGCTGAGTGATTCGAATGAAGAATTCGTGCTCAAAAGGATATTCATCATATAACGACACTTTATGAACAAACTTAAACAATCTACCTGGAAAACTATTTGTAAGTCCATATAAAGAATTCATTGTATATGGTTGTGAATAAATATGACATTGACCTTCACCCTCAGCTGGAAAAGAATGGATATAAGAAACAATTTGATAATCTTCGAGACCTTTACATGAACATTGAATATTTTCGTTTGATGGTAATTCATTTAAATCATCAATTATTAAACTTGAATGAATACTAAATGTAAATTTATTTAATTTTGACATATGATTGATAACATCTCTTTTCAAATCATTTCTATCAAGAAACGATTTATCAGGAATACAACGACCGATGGAGATATTCAAGAATAACTCCTCTATAGTAGACATTCGATTCGTCATAAAACATTATTTCTACTTCACAAGTCAATGAAAAACATTTCATATGAATTAATTCTTTCTAAAAGAAAAAATAAATAAAATTTTCTAGTTTCTCTTTATTTTAATAATAATGTATACCTTGTTATCCATTTCTAGCGATTGAGGAGTAAACAAATAAACATTAACATAGAAAGTATGCAGTTGTTTTAAACGACCATCAAGAAGATAAAGACAATCCGTAAAATATTCAACATTGATATGCAATTCCATTAAATTTGACGAAAAAAAGCTTGAAAGTTTTATTGTTTTAAAAGATAATCGTTCATTATCGGACGCATAAATATCGGAATATGGATGAAATTTTAAGCATAGTAAATTTGTGCATACAGTTAAAACATAAGTACAGATCGTCCATATTAGATCTGATCTTGATTTTATTATTTCATGTTTAGCGATTGTAATAATCAATGTTTTTATATTTTCGATATCGATCTTCATGCTATCTTTCCATTGCTCAAGATTTCTTCTATATCTTAATATTTATTTCACTTTTATTTATAACTAAATTTCAAAATTGATTTTAAATAAATAATTTCTAATGAGTCACTAAATTATACTGAAAATATTATATTATTCATCAGCATCTAGCTATCATAGGTTGAAGATCAAATGAATGAAATTGAACTTCTTATCATCAAACAAACGTATAATCGTCTTATGTTCGACATTGAAAAGAGAAAGTCCATGTAAATTAGGATAATCAGCAGCAAGAAGAATACGTTCCATATATAATGGTTCGAGATCAAGCCACTTGATTTTATAATGAATTCTAGATAATATTTGTGAATAAAATCGTTTAGCTATTGAATCATCTAGTGAATTGATATCATTATTTGACAAACGTCTCATTAATGTTAAATGTTCAGTAAACATAGAATCGTTTACGATTTTATCAAGTCGTATATGTACGGCTATTAGAGAGTAAAGTACTTCGATGTTGGTTAATTTATTAAAGATCAATAAAAGCATTTCATCGGGGTATATCTGCTAGTTGAACGCAAGAGTTTTGTATGTTCATTTTCATATACTGATTCTTTTTTAACAATTTCATTCAAATTTTATTAGATTTTTATTTTTTAGATAAAAAAAAATATTACACTATCTTTTGTAGATATCAATATGACAAAACGACCAAAATTACCAGACATATTGAAAAAATATTATTTCGCAAAAAAATTTCACAGATATTTATTGCAGTAACACACGATTATTTACCTAAAAACAATTATATTTTAATAAATAATGATGAAGTAAGAAAAAATGTTTGCTCTTATCCAGGACGATGATTTCTGAAGGAGGATTCCATAAATTTCCTGTCAAATTCCTGAGGAAACTCGCCATTTCTGGGCGAAACCCGTCCGGAAAATGTCAGGAATCCGATGGAGAAGCGAAGTAACTGTATCCGGCTGCCGTTTTTAGCATGCTCCTGTCGGTTTCGGCCCAAACCAGATAAATCCGGTGACCGGATCCGTTCGACGGGAATACTGTTTCCATCAAATCTCCGAAATAGCACGGAACCGGCCGTTTCCGTGTCGGATTGGTCGACCTGGATTGTGACGTTTTCTTTCCTTTGCAAAAGCCATGTGGGCTTGATAAAATCTGCAACGAAAATATTAATTCATTTCATCAAACATATAAAAAAAATACAATGATCTTGAAGTCCAAATATTTACCAAAGGTGGTAAATTAGTCTGTCACTTTAAAGTAAAAATTTTAAAAAAGAATTTTTCTTTTCAGTCGAAAAATTTTGTTTTTTAGTTTTCATCAACTAAACCACCTTATCAATCGAAATTGAAAAATGAACCAGAAAATATTACCAATGAAAAATAGTTTGTAACTTTACTCCAGTTCTCAAATCTTTTATTAAAAAATATTTTCGTTTTTAGTATAAATGAAAAGATCAATAAATTATATGAAAAATATGATGGAAAACTGAAAGAATTAACAGAAATAGAAACTGGTAAAAAAAATTTCTCTCGAAAGAAATTTTTTTTAATTTAGCGAAACCGAAGTGTTCTCATCGAATTGAAAATCAATTAGATGATAATTCTGCTGATGGTTTTGCTGAGTTGGTTCAAGAACTTGGAGTAGATCCAGCTGATGTTTTACACGTGAAAAAAAATACAGCGACGGCAACTGTCAGGGCATTGTTAAAATTGATGTATCCGAACCCACCGTCATATTTTCGTTTAAGAAATCTTGGGGAGAAAACAATCCAATTGATAATGGGTAAGCGTAATTTATTTTATTTTTCTTCTCTTTCTCGTCGAGAAGAGTCCAGCAGAGATAAATTATTTGCTTGCTTGACTGCTTGTGTGTCCGTAGGGTCACAAAAACATCGAAGATCGATTTTCTGAAATAGATATTTTCTGAGGTATTTCGATGCGGGGAGTGCGAATCTGCTGTTAGTTTTTTAAAATTCTTTTAAAAGTAGTATTTTTCAGACAAAGGATCATTTTTGGAAAAAAAAGTTTTTTTTTATATAAATGTTAATTGTAAATAAAATAACACTTTGTTTAATAGAGTTCGTAAAGTTCACAAGGCCAAGTGATCGAACTTCCAAAAAATACATTCGACAGGCTATTAGTAATTATTTTGCGTTAATAACACATAAGAGAAAAAAGCAACGACTTCATGCACCTTCAGAACATCAATAACAAGATCATCATTAACTTCGCCAAAGAAGCTCTCACTTCTTTAATGGACAAAATATCCATATTTAATTCTTTTTGTTGTTTTTCTTGGTGTTTTGTGTTGTTTTTATTGGTTTTCTGATCACAAACTACAAACAACTGGGAAAGAGGAATATCATACGTAAATGTCTATTTCTCTTTTCTTTTCTTATAAAAAGTTTTGGTTGCGTTTGTTTTTTTTCTCATTATCGAACGTATTTTGATTATTTATTAGTTCGTTAGTTGTGTTACATGATTTATGGTTTATTTTATGTTTTCACTTTCATTTCACTTATTATATTAAGCAATAAAGATTTAAGATTTAAGATTTTCTCCTAATTTAAATACAAAATCTATCAGCTAGTACAATGCTTATCGAGAAACAATGTGACACATATAATAATAGTGCAGAAGTTCAATTATTTTAAACATGGTTTCGTAAATAAAGCATTTATCTATATCACTATATTTTTTTGTCAACTTAAGACCTAGTTTAAAAGTATTTTCGTAGAAGAGTAAATACTATTGTGTAGAAGTATACGAGATTGCAAGCATGATTAAATATATGAAAGGCGGATATATAATGTGTTAAATTTTTAGTAGTTTTACTGTATAGATTCACAATATGTGGACGTAGGTGTAAAACTGATATGAATAATACTAGTGACAAAAGCCTGTTAATAAACAATTCACAAGTCATTCATGTTGTATATTTGTAAAGGATTACTACGTCACTTAAATCGAGTTTATTGGTCAATGAGGCACTCAACTTTCGACTTTTATGATAGTGAATATTGTTCTGTAATTAGAAGGAGAATTAAAAGTAACAGAAATGCCCTTTTCTAACTATAAATATAAATATAAACTATTATATATAGCTGCAGGTGTATAAAATTACTAATAGGTAACAGAACAACATTCAACTTCATTCGATATAATAAGTTTGGTATATTGTTTGTCGGATATATTCTGCAATATCTTTGCTAGAATCATCGTTATTAATCAAATAAGATATATTTTCAGGTGTATTTTTGTGTATATGTAAGCTAACTGGAACTAATGGCCGGAGCAATTCTTATATCATCTACTGGATTGATAAAGGACATCACGTTTACTTCCATTAAAAACATGTAGACAAACAAGAATTGAAATAGGTATTACATTTACTTTTGTTTTCTTTCTATCTCGTCATATTTTCCATAGCTTCTTTTTAACTATTTTACCGCCAGATTTTTTCGATTCGATTTATTAGGATCCGATCGTTCCCCATTACCGGATCTTGTCGATTCAAGTTACTAGGATCCGATCAGTATCCAACTAACGGATTTTGTCGATCCACGTTAATAGGATCCGATAGGAACTACAATCCGACGGAATCCGATAAAATTCTATAGGAACCTTGCAGGATCCTGTGAAATCCAACAATTTCCGATCGGAACCGAGTATAGGATTAGTGGACCTGGGTCTTTATTTTTCACATGCTTCACATCTTATGTTTTCTTTTTTAGATTCAGCTGTTAATGGTCAACGTGGTGATTATCATGGAAGAGGAGAAGAAGGTAGTGGTGGTAATTATAATAATTAATCTGATGATGGATGGCGTGTTAGTAGTGGTAGTGGCGGCGGCGGTGGATTTTATCAACAACAACAACATTTATTAAATCCTATGCGAGGAATGAATTCCTATCAAGTATCACCAATATAATCTTCTGATATACATCAAGATAAATCATTTGGTTTAAATTCTGTTACAAAACACGTCGATCAATAATTAATCATTTTACTTATCCAATGATTCAATGAGATAGTACATCAAGTATTTATGGTACACTAATATGTATCAAGAATCTAATCAATATTTAGATAATTCTATTTGATTAATTATTTATAACAGATACAAATATGCAAACAACAATAAATGATCAAAGTGATATATCTAAGTTGATGTATTAAAAACTAAAAATCAACCTCACGTTGGAGTAAGTCTTTGACTCATCAATAATAAATTACATTTCAAATACGTTCGTTCCATAATTTATATCAAAATTTGTAAAAGAATGGCAACTAATAGTTTAACAAATAAAATGAGATTTTTTCAGATTTTTTCCAAAGTTTATAATAGATATTATTTTGAGATTAGATTGAGTTAGTTAATTCAACAAGTCTTTCTTTGTACAGAATAGCCTGAATGATTTTTCTGCACTATTACACCAATATATACCGTTAACATATACATAGAAAACAGTCGCATAAAATGTGTTCATCGATGAATTTTATAAGACCCAATCTACAACTGTTGTTCTTTACACTTTCGGTCATTTTTTGGGTGTGGATGTGCATCTGCACTCAAGCCACACCCACACTCATTATCAGAATTTACAGAAGTTGGTAAAAGAATTTTCTTGATGCTGGTGATGTCAATGGAAAGACAAAAATAGATGTCTCTCTTTAAATTAGATCGGCAACGTTCATTTGCATTTCTGGTATATGTGTACCGTAGAATTGTTCAATATCACGTAATGTTCGTCGATCATCATCTGTAACGAAACTGATTGCTACACCCTTTCGGCCGAATCGACTTCCACGACTAATTCTATACAAAAAAATCATAAACAAAGTTTATAAAAATCAATTTTGTTTCGTTTTAATTTTACCGATGAATATAATTCTCTCGATTATTTGGTAAATCATAATTAATAACAAGACTAACTTGTTGAACATCAATACCACGTGCAAGTAAATCAGTTGTAAGTAATACTCGACTAGAACCGGTACGAAATTCTTTCATGACTGCATCACGCTCTTTTTGATCCATATCACCATGCTAAATTAAAAATCAAATGATTGTTTTTTATTAATTAATATTTGTTCACTCAAAATTAAAGAATAGCTGATTTTACTATTTGAATAAAGACTGAATGAAATGCTTGGTAATATTGGCCAGATTTATAAATTTATAGACAAAATATCCTTTTTACTTACCATGGCAGATACAGTAAAATCACGTCCACGCATTTTTTCTGTTAACCAATCGACTTTTCGACGTGTATTACAAAAAATAATAGCTTGCGTTATTGTTAAAGTTTCATATAAATCACAAAGCGAGTCCAATTTCCATTCCTATATGATTTGTAAATTTCAAAAAAAAATAACAAGAATTTATATTTTACCTCACGTTCGACGGTAACATAGAATTGACGAACACCTTCGAGAATGGACCCTTCTTGTTTTAAAAGAATTTTAATCGGATTATTCATAAATTTAGTTGTTACTTCAAGTACATCACTAGGCATAGCAGCTGATAAAAGGATGACCTGAATATTTTGTGGCATTGTTGTGAATACATCATAGGTTTGTTCTTTAGAATCACGTGATAACAGTTCATCGGCGTCATCCAATACAAACATTTTGATACTGTTACTTCCTATATAGTAATAAAGATATTAATCAATAGAAAATTGACAGAAAAAAGCGTACGAAGAGCCGATCGATTAAGCATATCATAAACACGACCAGGAGTACCAACAACAATTTGAACACCTGCTTCCAGTCGTTTTATGTCATCACGAACACTTGTACCACCAATACAAGCGTGACATGTAACACCCATATAATCGCCAAGGGCCAGTACTACCTTCTGAATCTAATCAATAGATATAACGAAACATAAATTAATAAGCAAAAAAACATTTAATACAAAAAAATATACTTGTTGGGCCAATTCCCGAGAAAATGTCAAAATAAGTGCTTGACAATCTTTAAATTCTATGTCAAGTCGTTGCAAAATAGAAATAGCATATGTAGCTGTTTTGCCTGTACCCGGTGCTGCTTGAACAATCATATCATGACCTAAAAAATGAAAAAGAATAGACAAAAGACCCTATTCAATACAAGAAAACAGAGCGAACCTAAAATACACGGTTTAATGGCACGTTGTTGAACAGCTGAAGGCCGGTCGAAACCATAACCATTAATACCAAGTATAAGTGGTTTACGTAAGTTCATCTGATCAAATTGTTCGACCACTTCTGTCCAATCATTCTCGATGGTTCCGTCTAAATATAAGCAAATAACTTATAGCAATTTAGTTTTTTTCTTTAGTGCGATTTCTTACCAGGTTCCATAGAAGGAACTGGCTGTGATGGAGTTGTGGTGGATGTCATGCCTAAAACGTAAATTGAAGTTCAGTTAGTATTATACGGTACAATAACAATCTTAGTTTAAATTTTTAAAAGAAAATTTTCATACTTGTCCCTAGATATCTTCTTTTAATCCGTGACTAATTTCCGTAACTGTTATTTGCAAAAACTTATTTGTTGGATAATAGCAAAATTTTTGCAAAAAATATAAGATGTGTAAAATTATTCTGAATTATCTTATGAAGAGAAAAATAAGAAATTTAAAAATCGAATCGATTCTGGAAGGTTTTGATTACAGTATTTTTTGTTCAAACTAACTCATATCTCCAAAACTAGATTTCAGAATCGCTGTATTGTTGTAGTGGTTAGAAATCTTCAGTAGATGATGATAGCCAATCATTCAATCAATTTAAGAGAAACGATGATGACATATTCTTCAGAATACAATTCATAAAAACTATCTAGGAACAAAAGATATACATGCGTATGCTATTCATTCGTTTTTGTACTTCGATATATCAAATCGAACTATGCTTCGAAACTGTGGACTCAGTGCTGGTCAGGAGTCGTCATTTTACTCTTCCACTATTATTTCAGTAACATGGTCTTCTTCACTATTTGCTACTTTTATAATTATTTTTTTCTTCCAAAACAAAAAATTATCTAATATGTCATGTAATTAGTTTTTAACATGCTATTTGAATTTAGACCTTTGTCTAATGATACGTTTTTCCGACTGACTTCTTTATCGAGGGATGACCGCAAAATCCAAGGTCAACTACTGAAGAATATAAAAAAGTGCTTACTTCCAGGGCGAAATACGCTTTAGTCATGCTGTTTTTTTCACTATTTTAGGTCAAGTTAAATATAGAAATTGAATAGTGAGTGTTTATCCAAATAGTTCTATAATCTATTGCAAAACAAAAGACTGATGAGTAATGCATCAATGATATAGATAATTAATAGCTGACTCGCCATTAAAAATCCTACCGAAACGGGTTGAATCCTGCGATTTTCGACATTTTCCGACTGTTGGAAATCGTTGGATCCGACCGAGTGTTACTAGATCCTCTGTCGAATTTGACAATCAGATTCTTCGTCCTGGAAGATAAAACTTGAAAGATTTTTAACTATCGCCCGTGGAAACGATAAAGTGTTTTTCAAGTTGATTTCCATGTGTTTTTCGTATGTTAATTAGCAAAACGTCTACTTCAATTATTTTAGTTAATACCTGATGTAGAGGCAGAATTTAGCATAAATCCTAATAGCTGTCGTTTCAATTCTTCAAATGATGGTCGATTTTTTTCTTGTTGTGACATACAATTTAATATGATTGACTACATTCTATCCGTACATTTCGATGGTTGTTTTAAACGTTCACCATTCATAACTTTTTGACAAACTTCATTATCATTTTCAATATTCGACCATGGCATTTCACCTTTCGAATAAGCTTCCCACATTAATACGCCCATTGAGAATACATCAGATTTTTCTGTATATGAATTTTTATTGTTACTATTTCTGAGAATTTCAGGAGCAGCATAACGTATTGGAACTATAGTCAATGTGGTGGTTGATGCTGTGCCTAATGGCGCATACATGGAACTTCCTCGACTAAGACCAAAATCAGTTAATTTGACAAGGTTGTGTTTTGGTTCATTTGCGTCATATCGAAATACTAACACATTTCGACATGCTAAGTCGCCATGTACAACCTGATTATGTGCCAGAAATACCATTGCATCTGATATTTGAACAAATATTTCACTTAAGACATGTTCATTAGGCATCGATGGTTGATCTTGTAATAATTCAAATAAATTCCCTTCAGATGCATATTCTTGCAACAAAGTAATAGAATGTGACGTTATATTCGCAGGTTCATCGACAATTCCATATGTTTTTACAATGTTGGGATGTCGCGTCATCTTTTCGTAAAATGATGCTTCTTTCAATGCTTTAATACCATTGATTTTCATTAAACAAATTGATGGACCATCTTTTCCGATCCACTCTGCTTCCCACACAGTTTTTCCATGTGCCTGAAATAATGCTCGACGCGATTTTTTTTTAATATGTGTATCTAGTTTGAAATAATAATGTTTTGATCTAAATTCATTAACTATCTTCTTAATTATGGAATTGGGACGTAGTTGATCGACACTAAGTAGTTGCTGTGTAAGTGGGCTAGTCCCGTTTTTCTGTATGTGGTGAACTATACCTTCTCTTTCATATGTCTGTCCATCTTCAGCCAAAACAGGATCTTCGAAAATTTGATGTGTAAGTGGGCACAATAGGAAACCAAATTCTGATGATGCTTTAAATGAATCAGCCATCGATATTATACTGAAACAGAAATACAGTCGTCTATGTTTTTAATTTCTAATAAAGTTCAAGATCTCTGTATACAGTGTCGCACATACATGAAACTTCTTCGCTCAAAGCCTGTTATCTTTCTACAGATGTGCCATAGTTTTATTTATGGTCATGCAGCTGAGCACTATGAAGTTTATTAATTAATCATAAAATTAATTAGTTAAATTAAGATTCGATCAGAAATCCCTTTCTAGGTTCTAAGCTCGAACTAAAAACTCCAGAAATTTCTGGACCGGCTAGAAGTCTGGTAAAGAAAAGCGGTGACCGAAAGTCCGTTCACTCAAGAAAAACAGCTCATTAGACTGAACCACAGCGAAAATACTCAATTTTCCCTTCGATTAACTGACTTTCGGATCACTCTACTAGGGCCCAGCAATCCGGCAACAGATCCGATAGATGTGTTATGGGATACAATGACATTCTACTATCATATAGATAGATCTGCCAACATATAAGGATTAAGTAATGCTAATAATAATGTCACATTCTTACTTCATAGCTCTAACTCATCAGAAACTTGCCTATCGAAAGAGAAGATTGTAAGGAATTTCTGTTAATTTATAACAGGTAAGAATGAGGCAATAGCCAGACTTGTGTATGTTTAATAAAACAGTAATATTCTGTAAAGTGAAAAACAACAAGTGAGAGAAAAATGTCTACACAACTACGGTTGTTATCTTTACACTTTGGTAGATTGCGTCGACAGAAAAGATAGAACAACACAGCCACATACGTCTATGCCTTGATAACAAAATTCGCGATATCATACTTTTTTTCTCGACAAGAAAAAAAAACGTGTGGAAGAATCAAAGAAGTCAACCGAAAGAGAAGATCTTTTGTGAAGGACAATTGAGAAAACATGTTGAAGTATACAACGAGAAGATTGAATTTTTCACACAGACGTTACAATCACATTCAAGACTTGATGAATTTTGTGGCAGTTACATTCTCGAAGTTCTTTCATATAATAAAAGCGTTTGTTCATCGTTACTTTGCAGTGTTCTATTTAAGACAAATTTTTCCATAATCCCTTTACTAAATCTAATGTTTTTCTTCTTATTTTGTTTCATCAAGAAAATCTCGCCTGGAAGATCTTTGTAATGAATTGTTCTATGAAATATTTATCAAGCTTTTTATAATCTGAATAATATACTTTTACAAAAATCTTTCTTAATAATTCAAGAGAGTCACTAAAAATTAATTTTACAACATTAGAATAAACATATAATTATTCCGAATCAATATAGAATTAAATCATTATATTTATCACATCCATTTATGATCGAAAACTTTTTTCGTCCTACACGTATTATATCAAGTTTTATTGGATTAGACAAACTTATTTTTAATAATATTATAGCAAAATATCTTGTACAAATATTTCAACATTTATCTTTTTCATCCAATCAAATATCATCTTGAAGCCCAGTGTAGGTGTGGATATCACAACCATCTATCATTCACACTCATTTGCACATATACTCATATTCATAAGTTTTATTGGAAAATACATAAGACCTCGATATAAAATCTTAAATTAAAAATACTTTAGACAATTAGACTTATACTAAAGAGGGGACAGCAAAAATTTTGACACGATAAAAAAAACATGAAGGAAAAATATTGTTTCATTATTTTGGTACTGGCATATATTTTGTATTAGGTGAAATATTTTGTGCCATTTGTCCTTGTGCAGCTTCGATATCATTTACTGGATTTGTTCGTTTGGCTTTGCCAAATTTCTTGCCGGTAAAAAAACAGCCGATAGCAAGAATAAGTCCAATGACACATAGAACAATTAATAAAAGTATAAATTTACTATAGCCAACCGACGACTCTAAAAATATAAGGAAAAACATATTAAGATCAAATATTGAAAGTATAAATATGATTAGATATAATCATCCGAAAAACATCTGTATCTTACTAAATTTCTACAAAGCAAATATATTCCTAAGTCTTATGATGAAAAGGTTCCTTATTTTATATATTTATTCATTTGATTAAATGTATTTTATTCTTTTTATCATTTTCTCGATAGAAAGTGTATACATTTTTTGTCAACTTATTTAACTGTAGCGATCGACTATCGTGTGGCTTAATAAACAACGAATTTCATAATTTTTTTAATTTTGAATTTATATTTGACTTTAATTTCTGTTTAGAAATAAGAATAACTCTATAGAAACAATCATTTACGATGCATATCGTAGAAAAACACTAGATTGCGCAACAAGTACGAAATTTAGTTGGAAATAAATAAATGACGCATCTACTTATACGTTCCTTATATGACGTAATAGAAAAATATTCTCTTTTTCTTCATTACGAACGAAAAAAACAATATTTGATCATATATTTCTTTTTCTTAGCGTGACACACCTTCAGTCGTCGTATAATGATTACTATATTTTCTATCAAGTTTTTACATCATCGTCGTGTTATACTCTTGTATTATCTAAAGGAGTATTAGTTCTAACTAATATTAAACCGATTCATTGTAAAAAAAAGGAGTAACTTATGAATAAATACACGTGAAAAAACACACAATCTGTTGACACTAATATTAATTTAAAACGATTGTTAGTAGTAAAGAAATATATGTGCTACATATTAGGGAAATTTTATCGATTGATACACAAATTTCATTACATTGTCTTAATATGATTTTGCTGGACTTGACATAAACCAAAGACTATGTTTAGAATGATCAATAAGGCAAAAAAGATCGTTATTGTTTTATAGGCGTTGTATGACGGTCGTTTTTTATCTGTTCTACACGATCATCAAAAGATGGTGATGTTTGTGTATCTGATCATTTAATATACAATCAAGCGGGATTGAAATATTGTGTCTATGAAACTTAGAAACAACGGCTATCTATAACTATGCTGATTTGTTCAGAAAGTATCTCTATTCAATTCATTTAATTAATTTTCTTACCTGATGCCGTTCCATATCTTGTATTATAATTTTTAGAATCACGATTTGGAAAAAAGAAAACCATGATGTTTGATTTGCTGTTGTTATACGAATAGGGGACGAAGATATAATGAAAATGACTACAACATGCCTTAAAATTGCGTGTTTATATACCAGGATATGAATCATAAACGTTTGTTAAACTTGGAACTTCCCATCATATTAAAAAGAGAGCGCCTACGTATTTCGACAAGGTTAAGCAGAAAAAAATATTTTTTTAATGTATATAGATACGTTAAAATATACTGATTATTATCATAATAAAGGTATGTTGATTATATGTGCGTCATATTATATCGCACTCATACTTTTCTTTTTTTTTCTCTCGTGTAATATTTCGTTGGTATAGTATTGGGTAAGATCAATTAATGGTTCATCCAGTTTTATCAATAAGAAGTAATACAAACGTCATATAATTGAGTGGGAAAAAACACTTTGTAATGAGAAAAATCGTCAAGAATATTAACAAAATTTTTTTTATGCATTACTCGTTAAAAGCATCCTATTGGACACGATCAAACATAATATGATAGTTGGAATGTATGGAAAGCAGTAAAACGTTACTTTTCATGTCTACTTCATATTTTTTAAGGATGATGGGTGAGAATCTAATTTTCTCTTGTCCATTTACTATCCAATCCTCATTCTCATCCTTCAAATTGTAATAAAGTCAAAAATTCTTCAATAATATACAAATATATGTTATTTTTAGCGTATCTACTCGATTGAAAGTATTGATAAACACGATAGGCAATGAATTTAAATCAGCTTTTTTATTCGTATCTATATCTAATCCTTTTAATATTTAATTTTTCGAAACTACCGGAAGAAAACAAATTTCATATATAGATCGAGAATTATATTTCTAATGACATATATAAACAGACATATTTTTCAACAAGATATTAATTAAAAAATGATTATCTTAAGAAACTAAGAAGGATATGGTTATTCATATCGAATATAAATTGCTTCACTATATAATATTCATGTCTATATATGTCTCAGACAAAGTTGATATTTAGGCAAAATTAAACTTAGTTTTGTAATGATTACAACTTTAATTGATTTAACAGAAATGTAATACATAATCGTTTAAATGTAGCTTTACTTTTTTTCAAATTTATTTTGTGCAAGTAGCAGTTATAAGTTAACAGAGATCAGTTACTAGTTTTAGTAAAATACTGTATCGAATGATGATAATTACTTAGTACAACTATCAGATCTAGTTCAATCATAGTAAAAGAGTTGAATTTAGAAGATGATAAAGTGCGTAACTATTCTTAATGAAAGTTTAATCCCGCATAGAAAGATGTAGAGTTCGATCAATTAAGAAATCCAATAAGTTTGCATTATTATTGAAACTTTGTCTAGAATCCAGCTTATTTGTTATAGCCAAATTTTGTCATTCGTTTCAGTATAAAAAGAAACAACAGCATACTTTATACTTCACAACATGTGTCGAAGCTAATTTTCATCACAAAAATCCTATCAACATCATTATGTGATGAAAACAAATGAAAAGGCATTTTAAAATACAAATTTAAATTTCATCAATATATAATTTTGTCTTTAATTTATAAATATGAACATAAAGTTTTTAAAATGAAAAATACATGCATACACACACACTACAAATGTTCTAAATGACGATCTTTTGATTTTCTTCGATGTTTTTTTGTAACTGCTGTTGATGATTGTTGAATATTTTTTCCATTAACATTATCTCGTTTTGTAATTGCATTTGATGTTTTTCTTACTTTTGATGGAACTAATTGTTGCTGTTGTTGTTGAAAGACATCTGTTAATTTAACTCGTGCATTTTTATGTGATTGTTGTGGTTGATTTTTATTCTGTGTTAATGCTTGATAACGTGATTTAAATACATGATCAAGTGATTTATTATATAAATGACGTTTATTCGATAGTTGTCGTCGTTTAATAGCATCATAATTACTTCCATATGTTTGTATTGAACCTGATATTATTTGACTTAAGTCACTATGATCAGTTGTATCTAAATTTCTTTGCATATCATTTACTTTAGCTGTATCACTCCATTGTTGTGATGTACAAGCTGAATTTTTTATATATCGTCTTACACCATCACCACCACGATAAACAAGTCCTGTTGTTGATATATCAGGTTCAGATGCTTGTTTATCATCTTGATCATTATTATCATAATCTGGTTCAGGTAAATCTTCTTCATCAAAACCTTTTAATTGTTGTAAAACTTTAACTTGTTCAACAGCATCTTCAACATTATCTGTTGTAAAATCACCACGTCGATGACTACGATTTGTTTTTCCATTATTTCTTTGACAAATTTTCAAATCAGTTGATGCTAATAAATGTAATAATGTTCCATAACGATGCCATAACATCGAAACAAATTGTACAAGTAAAATAGTTGCAAAAAATAATAAGAAACCTAAACCAAGTGGTTCAAAACGTAATGGTTCATTATGTAAACGTTTTATTGGTATAAATACAAATTCACGTATTTGTTCAGCAACAAGTTGAAAAGAAAATATAATTACAATCCATAATGTATTAATCATAAAAAATACGAAACAACAATTATTACGTAATGATTTAAGATTTTCAACCATTTTTTTCTGATGATCTTTATCTTCAACTAATGGATATAAATAACGTTCGATTAGTGCTTGAAAAAATTTTGTTTCACGTGGATCAAGCATAACTACTTCAGAATCACGTAACGATTCATGAAAAATCCATGCTGGATTAACTAAAAGAAAAATAAATATGTATACCTCTTGACTTTCTAATATCGATTATTAACAAGGAAAATATAGAATACTTCATACCTAGTTCATCTCGTTTTATAACGGGATGTTCTAATGGACGTGTTACACCTCCATAAGAAATTCGTTGTCCATAAGGTGTACTTCGTGCAGTATTGATTCCACGATAAATTAATTGTTGTTGTTGATCAACTTGAGGAAAACTAGCACGATTTACAGGTACACCATTTATTCCTGGTGAACCGGCACGAGCTGCTAATCGCATAAGATCATATTTTGCATCAATTTCCGAGCCAACTGGTGTTTTATTTCGTTGTGGATATATACCTTGCGTTGCTACAGCGTCCATTTCTTCATCAAATTTACTCTAAAAATAAAAATAACAATAAATTATTTTAATATTATATAATCAATGTATATTACGTCTTCCATTCGTTGAACAGCACCCAAAATTTGTTGTAAAAGTATACCATTTAATCCTGATCGTTCTAATCCAAGCCATTTACGTGCGTACGAACGTATCCGTTCATCATATTTTTTAAAATTAAAATTTGCAAATACCTTTATTGCAATAATAAGAAAAAGAAACAATAATATCGTTTTTTTCTAAATAATCATTTACCTGATTAAAAAATCCAGCTGATTTTTGTTTAGCTTTTGTTAATTCTTGCATTTTTGCACGTTCAAGTTCTTCTTTACTTAGATTTTTTTTAATTTTCGGCGCTTCACGAGTACCCCATGAGACAATATTAAGATTACATAGTGAATAAATAAGTAGAAATAAATATCCACTTGGTATACATAAAAAATAAAGTAAACCAGGAACAATACACCAAAATTCTTGCGGATGCATACAAGCAGCTATAAAATTGATTGAAAGTAATAACATTAGAAAAACAGCATTTGGTGATGTCCAAGAATCTTCAGCTATTTGAATTGTTGTACCAACAATAACAGCCATCATTATTATAGCATATACAGCAGAAAGAAATGCTGCCGCACGAATTTGAAAATCAGTAGTAGTATGAAAACATAATAGAAGATAAAAAAATGCCGGTAAAACGGACATATACATTGATTGCCAGAGACTTGTACCTGAAAATATAATGAAGATTGCTCTTAGCTAAAATTTAATTCTATTTTCAACATACCAAAACATGCATTGAATGCTCCAATAATCATTAGAAGTACTGTTGCTGGACCAAGTACCGTTGAAATCATTAGAAACAGTTGATAGATAATATATAAATATGATATACTCTCATTAACAATTACAATTCGTTTATATTCAACAAGAAAATCAAGTATATTTGCAATAGTTGATGGAACCCATCGACGACGTTGATTAAAGAATTCCTATAAATTCAAACGAAAGAAAAACATTATTTATTCAAAATGAACTAAATTAAAACAAACATGAAATGTTTCCGGCGCATAAGTCAATGCATCCGATGCTGCACAATATTCAACGCGATAACCCTCTTGTAATAAAAGTGTACATAACCAACGATCTTCACCTATTATAAATACATAAAATTAAAAGATTAGTTTTCTAAACGAAAAACCTTGATCATATTGCACATAATGTCGAGCTTCAGTTGATTTTGTACAATATGTACGAAGTACATGATCGTCCATCAATGCTGAACCACGAAAAAGACTGAAACAACCTGGACTACACATCTAGTAAATAATCAATTTGATTTTATGTAAAATTCAATTGAGGAAATAATTTCTTAACTTACAACACAACCTAAAATATGTTCAGCTGCTTTCTGAAGCCAATGACCAATCGCGTATTCAAATTTTTGATACCAAACCATTGGACCTTTATTTAATTAAATTGAAAATATTTCAAAAAACTAAAAGTTAATCATACCACTTCCAATTGGATGAATTCGTCCACAAGCAGCACCAACTTTCTTATTTTTCTTCATTCGATCAACAAGTAAACGTACAGCTTCTGGTCGAAAATCTACATCACCATCAAGTGCTAATAGATATGTATTTTCCATCTAATTAATAAAAATATTTATTTAATAAAAGAAAAAAGAAAAATTTCTTTACTTGTATTCGTTTTTTATTATCCATATTATTCAATAAATTTCCAAAACCTTTAAATAATTTTGATTTATTTTTCGATGAATTTTTCTTTCGTTTTCGTTTATATAATTTTTCAATTATATTTAAATCACCAAATAAACGATAACCAAGTAAATAATACATATACATTACTTGACTCCATCGTTTTTTATGTCGAATTTTTGTTTTATCTTTAATATGTGCAATAAGAAAATTTCCACCTGGTAATATCCATGTTAATCGTCCACCATATGGTGTTGGGGTTTTGAATGGTGGTGGAATTTTCATTGGACATTGATGAATAGCACTATAATAGAACAAAAAGACGATTATAATATTTCACGGAATGAAAAAGATATACGTTGCAGCTCGATCAATAACTCCAAGTAATTGTTGGACAAATTTATTTGGTACTTGTTCATTATTTTCATCTTCTTCCGTAGCATCATCAAAAAATATATGACCTTCATATTCATAATAATCAAGATCTTTCAAATGTAAATAATTTCGAGCTGTTCGTCGAGCACATTGGTCACTATCCAATCTAAAGGAGAAGAAAAAATAGAATTACTGAATAGAATCAATATAATATCTTATTGACAAACCTCATAATTGATTTTAATAATTGTAACATTTCTGTTTCAGTTTCATGCCACATCGTTGCACATGAAAATATTTTTGTATGTACTTCTGCACTTAATTTTTTTTCCATTGATAATTCTTCTATACTTTGTTCATCAAATTCTGTTTCACCATTAACTGTGCCCATTTCATCGTATGTACCGATTATCATTTCATCACCTTCATTTCGACGTCTATTCATCATTAAAGATTGTTCAAGTAATGTTGCACAATAACGTGGTGAAACAAATAACCGTTCTGTAAATGCTAAACGTTGACTTTTACCAAACCAAATATGTCCACCAATCCATAATTCTGATAACCACCATAGAACAAGACCACAAATAACTTGCCATCGAAATGAATCTTTAGCATAATCAGCATAGCAACTCCAAAAAAAGAAAATTTTCTACAAAAACAGTTGTTTGTGGTGCAACTGAACACATAACAAGTAATATTGTTAATGCTAATGGTGTTACTAATGTTATTGGTAAAGCAAAACATATACGTTGCATACATAATTTACATGCTAAACGACCCATATAAAAACATAATGCATCTGATATAATTTTTAATATCATTGGTGCTAAATAATAAATCCAACGATCTTTTGGATTTGTTTTTTCATTATTTCCTCCACCGCCTTCACGATTAATTCCATCGGAAGGTGCATGTAATATGTCATCATCAGATACAAAATTGCTTGGTAAATCATTTTCTATTTGTCGTTTATTTCGTTTGATATATGTTGAAATATTATCAATTGAACGATGTTCACGTGGTGGTAAAATTGGTATTAGTCCTTGTACTGGTTGTTGATCAAATCCTAGTGTTGCCCAAGAATTTTGTCCAGACGATAGTTTTGGTAATGGATCTTCTATTTGTTCATTACTATTACTGATTGGAAAAATAACAGATGTATTAAAAATTCCATGATGAAATAAATAAGCAAATAAAATAGTAACAAATATTTTCCAACAAGTTATAATTAATGAAGTTTTTGACCGTGTAGCAACTATATTTTCTTTTAATAGTTTCATATGCACTATAGTACGGCCACCAATTTTTATATCACGATCAACAAAATTTTCCCACCTAAAGAATCAGAAGAATATAATATCAATATACAATTCTATCAAAATATAAAATGATCTTATCTTGAGGATGTGGGTGTAGTAGTGCGGGTACTATCCTTTTTACTCTCACCCTCACCCACACCCACCCACCCTCAATGATCAAAGAATAGAAGAGATTGATATCTCAAATTAAAACAGTTTTGAATATTTCTCTTTCTAACTTTCTCATAAAATATCTAATAGATACATACCAAGCTAATGAAACCAGAATAAGTGCGACTGGTAACTCCCATTGAATATAGAATCCAGCTAAAATTGTTTGTAAATTATGATCTATTGAACTCATATTAGTACTAGGTGTTGTAAATAAAATATTCTCATTATTTCCATTAATATCTGAAGTAAATAAATCGAAAGCAGTAGTCAATGATTCATCTTGTCGTTTATGTCGATTTAATAATGGTATTGTTGTTGTACTTTCTGGAAATATAAATGATGATACTGTTGTTTGAGCAAGAATTGGTCCATCATTTTTTAAAAATTTCGATGCTAAGGCAATACCAACACATGAACATTGCATAGCAAATGCAAAAAAATCCATAAGAAATAATAAACTTCGTCGAACAATTGATGAATTTGATTTAGTCAAAAATAATTTTAAAAAAGCAGGTACAAGACATACAGCATTCATTATTAATAAACTTCTTGCTGCATCAAGTTTTGGTAAAATATGAAAAACAAATATAGCTATTCCAAAACTATGTAAAGTTTCAATGAGAAATACCTAAAAATATTTCAATATACAATTAAATAAAGATTTAGAAAAATAACATACGATAGTAAAGATTTTTATAGTTGGCCATGGTTTATTACCAAATAAACATTTACCAAGACTATCGAAAAATGTAAAGACATATGGAGCACATACAGATGCTAATAACATCCATACCCAACGTTCTCGATAAGGTGTCTAAAATATATTTGTGTAAGTAAACTTTAATGATTGAATTGTTTTTTTCTTTCTTTCTTACCTCTTGTACTTTCGCCACCGAGTTTGTCATTAGTAATAAAGCTCCTTTACTAACCAGTGCGGTTAATAGTACACCAATATTTAGTACAATATATGTAGTAAGTTTTAACATACGCATAGATAATTGATAACAATGAATAGTTTTTTCATAGGCTTCACGAACTTCTGTTGTACGTGGTGCATCCCAACAATCCACATTTTCACTAGATAGAATTAACAATATCAATTAATTTAGATTGATAATTTACTTTCGTTCAATATAAACTTACTTGTCAAGTAATGCATTACCATCATCATCTTTTGATGATTGATTTATATTCGGAAAACTATATGTCGATTGTTCAAATTCATTCGTTTTACGTGTTTTACGTGCTTGATTATCTTTAAATTTTTGTCTTTGTAACAAAAGTATTTTTTTTAACTAAGTCACGTTTTTGTTCCGACAACATATTCTGATCATGAAGATCAAATAAAGCATTTCGTGGTTCTGATTTCGAACGGGTAGTGGCTGGATGTTTTCTTTCCTGTTGTCCAACGGACCAATCTAAATTATTTACAAAAAAAAGATTAGTGAACAAATCTAGTAAAAAATTTTACCCGTCATGAATAGATCACCACTTGCTGCAGCAACTTTTGTTTCTCTTATTAATTGTTCACCATCAGTTAGTTTCATTGTTGGTGCAATAGGAACTGCTGCAGCTATGGATGCAATTGTACCATCATGAACTTTTGAAGGACTTTGTATTATTGTTGTTGTACATGGTAATCCTGAACCGGATTCAATATTTGCTTCAATAGGAAATTTTTTCTGTTGTATTTGTTGTTTACGAGACATAATTGTTCCAGGTGTAAATTCCTCTTGAACAAGAATACGTACTTCACGTTCAGATAAACGTTCTAATGTAGGTTTAAAATCGTTTGATGTTGTTTGATGATGAGTACTATCTAATTCATCAAGTTCATCTTTTTCGAGCAATTGTAATTTCTATTCCAGTTAAAATTAGTACATATATTTTTAATTACTTAGCTTACTTTTGCTACTTTTAACATATCTTTATGTTCTTGTTCACTCATTGGAATTGTTTCATTAGGAATTGAAGTTGATGATGCTAGTTTCTTCGAATCTTTCTTTCGTTTTTGTATAAAATGTCCACTACTACTACTTGATGTCTGTTGAATATTTTTAGGTGGGATCTTTCATAAGAAAAAAACAAGATATAATTATTCTTGATAATAATTTCAAACATACTTTTGGTAATGCTGTAAGTTTGTCCATTGTTTTTTTTCCAATTAAATATATTTGATTTAAAAAATTCTGACGTTCATTTGCATTTTGTTTTGCTTGACGTAAAAGTTTTTGTCGTACCAAAAAACCTCTAACAATTTTTTGACATTTAATTATATATGATAGATACTGTTCGTAATATTGATTTAAAATTTCTAAATGTTCTAATTTTAAAAAGATCTAAAACATAAAAATTGAAATTAAAAATAAGAACAGATTCATTTTACTTACTTTAGATTTTCCAATAACATAATCAGTAAATGAAAGATATTGAAGAATTTTTTCGCATGCTATTGCATCTATACGAATTGAACTACTTTGTGAATAACAAATAAATTTATATCTATAGAGAGAATAAAAAGAAATGAATAAACGAAAATTTATTTTGGTATTAACCGTTTTAAAAATTCTTCAAATGTAAAACGAACAGGCCAACCTTGATTTCGTATACGAGATATTTCAAGAATACCGTTATAACGTAATTGTTGTTGAACTAATTCTTCGTCAAATTGATTAGCTACTTTATCGTGATTAGGTTTAATACATCTATGAGAAGAAAAAAAAGAAAATTTACATTGAAATTAATTTTATTCACCATTTTTAACAATGTATAAAATAATGAGAAACTTCATTATTGTATACATACATAAGTATTAACATAATGAGTCTGTAATCGTGCAACAGATGATCTATTTTTAAGGTCAGACAACTATGTAGCGGATTTATGTTATATCACTCAATTAGAAAGGATTGAATAAAGATTGTTCTAACAATTGAAATAAAATTAGTACTAATTGCAATTCAAAATAGATGTACAATAATACGACATCAGTCCTTACTCATATTTCTAGTGATTCATATTAAGACTAGTTGTATTACTATAGAATACAAATATACAGAATTTACGTTTTCTAAGTTCGCTTGTAAATCTAATGCTAACTATTTGAATTTCTATCTGTACAAAAATTGCGCATTACAAATCTAATATCAATATTTACTAATCATACAAACGAATTTTATCTACCTCGATATATTAGGTATATTATTTGTTGTTATATTTTGATATTGTCGTATTTTATGTCTTCCAACGAGTGTATTTTGTCCATCGATATCATCGTTATACATTATTAATTCATCTGTTGGTACATGTAAATCAACGGAAACAGTTAAACTTTCGCATGAATCAGGAAAAATTTGTTCGTGATTTGAATCTTTTGTTAAATATTTTTTATCAGAAGATGTTATTACATTATTTGATTCGCTTTGAATTTGAGATTGTGGTGATAATAGTAGCCAATGTCCACGTCGATCAAGTCGACAATATCCCGGAGGTTTTTTTGATATTTGTTCATAATTTAAACCATATGATTTTGGTATTATTGAATAATCATCAAGTGTTTCCCATCCATTATCATTTCTATTATCTGATAAGGATGATGATAATGATGATGTTTGAATATATTGATTATCAGCTAATGAAGCAAGTACTGATGTTGGAGTTGCACCGGGCAAATCTTGCCATGAATCATTTGAACATTGTTCATTAAATTTAAATTTATCTGTTGTAAATAATAATTTTTTTATATCCGTTTTCGTTGAGAATAAGTTAAAATCAGACATAATGTACAATTAGAAATGACCAACAATAGACATTATGAATAGACAAGAACGATCGTGGAATGTCAATAAAACTACTCCGTTTTGTTAGTCAGTTACACGACGATTGAGACTAATCGATAGATAAATAAAAACGATTGACCGTATATATGTATCTTTCTTTTTTTTCCTTGTCTCTATAGAAAGAGTTTGTTGTTTGTTGAATATAAAACTGACCAACAGTCAAACGTATACAATCAAGACAAAAATGCAAAAGAATAAACCTAATTTTTTCTAATCTGTACAGTCAACAATAATATACATTTGTTATCATATCAAAATGAGAGATAATTAAGTACTATAAGACGATGATCTATTCTGAATAGCTAATCAGTTAGAAAGAAAAGTAGACGCATTTTATCAGTATTACAATTAAAAAAACTGTTCGAACTAATTGTTACATCGATCTACAGTTTCGTATCAACAAAATACAGAACGCGACAAACTATTATTAAAATTCTAGAATAGGGCGTATACTTTTCGATGAAATAACACGTTGATGAACTTTCTATTTCATCTATACTCGATTCAACTTCATACTTCAAAAACAGAAAATAAGCAGTGAAGAGAAAAAAACGCATATTTATTACACTGTACGCTGTATTTTATCTATCATTGCGCTACATGCTATGACTTAGTCTTCTCAAAATAAAACATTGCGCCCTTTCAATCGTACTAACTGTACGTATCATTCACACCCTAACACATTACAATTAACATCATTTCTTTCATATCAAATAATAAATGAATTCAAGATTGAAATGTATATAATCATAAATCCATAGTTATTCATTATATCCTATATAAAAAATTCGAAATTTTTGATATGTACTAATACATTTCATTCATATATGTTAATTAGAATACATAAAAAGAAGAAGATGAAAAAAAAAGCGAGGAATTTTGATCTTACGTGCTTGACCAATATTTTTACGTTAACATCAAATGAATAGCAATAGTTGTATACAAAGCGGAAGATTGAAAGACAAATGTGTCCTTCGTCATTCTCTCATTTTCCTTTTGTTTTACATACACAAAACACAATCCTTAACAATTGAGAATGAATAAAATATCATCTTCCTTCTTTTCCTCGTTCATTTTATTTTATCTTGTCACCCTTATACTTCTCGCATTCGTTTTGTTTATTTTGTACTTCCCATTAGTCTTTCGTCTAGGTCTCTTCTTCTTCTTCTTCTTCTTCTTCTACTTCTTTTCGTCATCAAATGGTGAGATAAATACATATACAAATATATATATATATATAAATCTGCTTCTTCGTTTTCATTTGTGTATATGTCTATGTCACGAACGAAGGTGACAACAGTACAAATACAACAAGCAGACTAAACTAGTTGGAAGAATGTTGAGTAATCTAACCGACGGGACAACGAAGAACTGTATACACAAACGAGAGAGAAAAAAAACGAATCCTTTCATCACATTCATTGATTAAATGTATATGTGACATTTACATATTGATCCACGTACCTGACAAATGATGGTTCAGTATCTTTCATTCTATCAAGTAATTCAGCAAGAGATATTTTAAAATGAAAAGCAACAGTATTTTGATTGAAATATTCTTTGAAATGTATATTCGTTTTAAAGAATTTTCTAGAATAAAATAAATAATATTTTTTCTTCTGTTTATGAGAATATTAATTGACATACAATTCTTGTTGATTTGATTTATTAGTTTGTTCAGTCATATGATCTTGTATATGTTCATTTGCAGAAGATTTTCGATACCAATTCGGATGTTTTTTATTGTAACCTATCATTGTATATGGTGAACTAAATATACAATTATATTAATGAAAAGTTTTTGATTATTTTATTTAATATAGTGAATATAAGTAAATAAAAATATATTGTTTATATTTACTATAGTGATACTAATGATATAACGAATGGTTGTAAAGGCCAAATCTTTCTTTTCATAATAAGAAGAACAAATTGATTACAAAAATAGAGCTTTACAACTGCTTAACATTTGAACACGTTATTTTTTTTTGTCAAATTAACCTAACGATGTGTCAGTAAGGACTATAACTGAAACTATTTCACAGTTGTAGTTTTCTACAAAATAATACCATGGAGAAATTCTTAGAACTCATGCTTCTATTTTTACCAAGGATGAACAAACTGATTTCCTGATTTCTCATTTCTCATAATTTTTAGTATGGAAATCAGTTGGGGATGTGGGTGGGTGTGGGTGTAGATACTGTATTCACCTAGCACCCATATCCACACCCGCACCCACATCCTTTTGATTTCTTGCGATTTCTAGTATGGAAATCAGTTTGTTCGCTCTTGATTTTTATGCAAAATTTCGATCAAAAATAACAACTAGATTTCAAGATTCAAAAATACAAACGAAATGATAAGTCATATAAAATGCGCTGATGCTTTTTTTGCTTATAATATTATCTGTAACGAAAGTACTATTGGCGAAGATCCGGAATTCCAACGGAACTGTTAGTTCGAAATCCGAAATGCATGTTTAATTCAATTGAGAAAAAATTTAAAAATCTGCTATTTTTTCACTTACATTGATGAATGATTTATTTCATCTGTCAATAAAAATAAATGTTTAATTAAATCCATTCCACTTTTTTTCATACATTCAATTAAATTTATACTAAGATTATCTCGATTTTTTTCTAAAAATCCATGAGCATCATAAACAACCTATATATAATATAAAAATTTATATTAAATATTATTATTTGTTTTCTTTGTTTCATACTTTTCCAGCATAATGATGAATACCAAATGTTGTCTCATTTCCTTTTGGTTTAATATATCTTGAATGATATTTACAATGACTATGAAATTTTTGTACAAGTGATTCATCATTTGCTTTTGGAAAATGAGATTCTTCGTCAAGTAATGCTAATATTCCTAATGACTATTTAATAACAATAAAAAAATTTGTTTTTGTTTTTCAGAATAAATCTTACGTCCATAAATAATGCAATTAAATCTTCATTGTTTTGAAAATGAATCTTTTCATATGATATACCTTCTGTTTGATAATCTTGTTGTTCTTGTACAAAAATATGTTCGTTAAAGTAATACTGTAAATGCTCATTGGTAATATTAATACATAATTGTTCAAAACTATTCATTTGAAAATTTTCAAAACCTGACATATCTAATATGGAACATGTAAGATAAATGTCGTCATCTATTGAATTATTCCTATACGATATAAGAAAAATAAATATCTTGATGTAAATATCTGTACAACTGAAAGATATTTTCGTGAATCGATTCTTTTTTCTTATAAAATATATTTCATTTCATTTTCCATGGGCAGTGTCTAAGTAAGTCCTGATTATTAGTGCAAATATTACTTAAAAAAGAAATCTCTGAGATAAATAATTGAACTATCAAGACCTTTTAAGTTTCCTATCCCGACATATGAAGAAATTCGTAGTATGAAGGTGTTTCATACATGGACTAAAAGAAATGTTGTACTAATGACAAACACAGATTGAACGATAGAATTTTGTTCTATACGTTTGTAAGTCTTTACAAGGAAAAATAATGAGCGATATCGAAAACTAGAAATTGTTTGTAATAATTCTTTATGAAGACGATCTTCATAGTCAGTTTATTGAGTTTTGTATATTAAATAAATTACCGTCTAGTTGGTTGTAAAAGATTATTTATTTGTTTAACAATCCAAGAGAATAATCGTTCATATAAAGCTTTAGCAAGAGCATCACGACAATCATTAGCTTGATCAAAATTTTTTAAACTTATAACATGTTCACCTTTAGTTATACTGAATGTTGAAATAAGAGCCATAGTTAATATTTCTTGATCAAGTGCAAGTAATGTACAAACTATAACGATAGATAATTAAAATTTTATAAAATTTTTAATAAGAATGATGAATTATTTGAAAGAAATAAAAGTACTTGTTAGAATATATACGACAAGTTTTTAATTTCTAACATACCAACTTCTAATGGATATTCATCTTCAATATAAACTCCATCGGTTTCATCATCACGTGTAAATTGAATATTTGTCAAATGAAGAATAGCTGAAAGAATTGTAAATACTATATTTATATCCTAGAATAGTTTTCATTTTAATAGATTTTTTGGTTGAAAATAAAAAAGTTTACTTTATCAGTAAAACCCATTCGTTTCATAATATTTTTTTGTGTATTAAACATTTGCCGACAATGATCAAAATCTGTTTGGTTTGGAAATACTTTTTCTCCACTAGGATCTTTCAAAATTCTAAATAAATATCGATATTTTAAATCCTCTACTGAACAAATTAAAATCTGAATACCTATAAGTTTCTGGATCATTTAGATGAAAATAATTCAAATCTTCTTTCTCTAAACCAGCAAATAAATAATAAAAGAAATGAAATGTTCGTTCATTTGATCCATGTTGAACAATACGAGATTTTTCAAGTAAATATTCATAAACCTTAGCTAAAAACAACACTTATCATTATCAATAACATTCAAAAATCAACCTACCACCAACAATTCGACCATTATCCGTAAAATTTAATTGTAAATATTTTCCAAAACGACTTGAATTTTGATTCATACATGTTTGTGCATTACCAAATGCTTCCAATAATGGTGAAGTCTACATATTCGAATTAATCATTTCAAATTATCAAATAAATTCCTCAACAAACTTCAATGATTCGATTTTGTAATTCACGATCGCCGCTATTACCTGAACAATAAATTATATGTGAAACCATAAGTTTGGTCGATTCAGTCTTTCCTGAATACATATCTAACATAAAATTCAATTTAAAAAAAAGGAAAAATTCTACCAGATCCACTTTCTCCTGTAACAATAATACATTGTGATTGTTTGGATAAACAGAGTTTTCGATAAGCATGATCCGCAATCCAAAATATATGAGGTGGTGAATGATTTCGATATTGAATATGTTTATATAGATCATGTTGCTAAAATATTTCTTTTATCTATTTTATTCAAATCTTTCTTTAACAAACAAACTTGTTTTTCATAGATATTTAATTGTTTAAATGGATTTATAGCTATAAGAACATCACCAATATATGTCTATTCATTTAGAAAAAAACAAAAAATGAATTTTGTAAATCGAAATAAATCAACTTACATATATAATTCCTTTTTTATATCGAATACGTAATTCATATAATAAATTATTTTCATTAAGAATATTTAATATTGATAAATCATTGATTTCCCCAGAACCTACTTGAATAACCATGATTTATTTTTAATCATAAACTAACTCATCTATCAAATGATTATTGTGTACAATAAACTAGCTCAATATATATCTTATCTTTTATTTACATAGAGAACAAACATAAATATAAGATTTCGAATAAGGCCACATTCATTCATAGATATATTTAATCAAACAAATTTTATTTGGATGTCATCAATCGAAAGAAGAAGAAAAAAGAGAGATATATGTTTGGATAGATATAAAAAAAGAAGAAGAAGAACATGATAAAATCACAGGATGTCATGTTGAAGCGATTAAAAGGAGAGTGAAATAGGTGATATGTCTATTTATTCATCTTCAACATCATATAAGTCAATAATGTTCATCAAAAGAAACTTTATACTCATTATTATTTGATAATATGATAGAAAAAGAAGATATATATATATATACCCAAAAGAAAAGAAAAAACGAAATTATACAATTTTAAATGGATAACAAATGAAATCGAGAAGAATATGGTACATAATATGGATGATTGATCGGTATTAAAAAGAATGATAATTACAATTTATGAAACATGTCATTCCATGACTTTGATAATCAGCACCGTGAAATAAATGACCAGTGATAAATTTATGTTTTAAAATAATGAACAACGAGACCAGAATGATGTGTCAGGTTTTTTATTTGTTTCTTTTTTGGGTTTAATTACTGATGATTTGCTAGATTGATCAGAACCCTAAAAAATAATATATTAAAAATATTGAAAAATAAAGTTTTTTTCGAAAATCATACAGCTTTTTTATCAACTTTGCTTTTGATATCTTTGGCAAGGGAAAGAAAGGATTCTTCAACGTTCTAAAATAATAATCATCAGAGTAATATTTAAAAAAAAATCATAAGTATACTTACAATATTTCCTTTAGCACTAGTTTCCATAAATTTAATACCATATTCATTAGCGAGCTAAATAAAAGTAACATATATATTATCTTAATCTGCTGACAATTAAGAAGAGGAATCAATTTAAATAAATGATATTTCTAGATCTATTACATTAACTGCTGTTTTATTAGATAATAGAGTATACAAGAGGAAACCAGGTGTCTCTAACATAACAGATTTATACACTTATATGTACCTGGAATCATTGCTTAACACTCAGATTTTTCGAAAATCATCTGGTATCAATAAAAGGCATTATGTTATATCTGAGAGGGAAAATGGACTTTAAAGCACTTATAAAAAACCTCGTCATAAATTTGTTCAGATGAGAATCACACCAACTTTACTAATCTCCTTGTCTTCGATAAAATCTATACAGAGAATGTATAATCTCTTTATTCATCAATCTGATTGATAATATTAATCTATATCCTTAAATACTAAGTGTTTTCAAATTCCAGCAGATATTATCATAAAAAAACTATTGAAAACTAGATAATCTACAAAGAGAAACGTTCATTCTTTCATCAATTCCGAAGGTTATCTGCAGAGTTTTTATCTCGAAAAATCAAGCTGAAATTTCTGGAAAGATAAATGATATACTCTACATTAGGATAGCCACGAGGCTGTAGAAAAATAATTCGATTCTTAGCGAAGGTTATCTCTGATCTTAAAATGATTTGTTTCTTTTTGTATTAGTTATACATACATTTTCACCCTTTTCTCTAGATACTTGTCGTCTTTCTTGCATGTCACATTTATTTCCTATTAACATTCGTTCAACTTCAGCTGACGCATGCTAAATAGAAATCAATATAATAATTGTTAATTCATTATATTTTCATACTTCTTCTATATTTCGAATCCAATTTTTAATATTATCAAAACTTTTTTCACTTGTTATATCATATACTAACATAATTCCCTAAAAAATATATAAATACAAAATAATAAACTACGATTTTTGTTTTCTTTCAATACCATTGCTCCGCGATAATAAGCTGTTGTAATAGTTTTAAATCGTTCCTAAACAAATATATGTGTATCTTAGTAAAGAGAAGAATGTATATGACATACTTGACCAGCAGTATCCCTATAGAATAAGAATTTAAATAATTAATAATCTTTCTTTTATTTATTTTTAAAACATACCATATCTGTAATTTAATTTTTCGTCCATCAAGATCAATTGTACGAATTTTAAAATCAATTCCTAATATATATATAGAATATTATTTTTGCAAAATGTTCTTCAATAATTTTACCTATTGTAGAAATAAAAGTGGTGCTAAATGCTGAATCACAGAAACGTAATAGCACACAAGTCTAAATATATATATTCTTATTAGCAAAAAGAAAAGCCCATAGATATCAAATATACCTTTCCAACACCACTATCACCTAAATGATAAAAATTAGATGATAAATATTTCTATAAAATCTTTACATACCAATTAAAAGTAATTTGAATAGATAATCATAAGCTTTAGCCATATCTTTCCTTGATGATATCAAGTGATGATATATCAATATAGATCCATATGGTGTTTGATGTATCTGGAAAGACAAAATAATGTTCTTTATCTTGTATATCTATTAGCGTAGAAAATAGAATAAGAAGAAAGAATGAGAAGAAATATTTTATCTGAAAAAACAAAACAAATAATAATAATGTCTATCTGCAAATAATCAACTAACCAGAAAAAATCAACTACTATTTCACTTGATTTATTTCTTAAAACAGCATCATTGCAGCATTCTTTTTTTTTTAGTTTATGAATCATATCCGTCATCAACATGTATCAAACAATTTATTTCAATGGTTATATTTCAACCAGCAACAAAGAGAAAGAAACTCATTTATATCATCAACTAGCGCACTCTGTCCTCTGCTAATATACATATATAACTTTTATTTTCTGAGAGTAATTAATATACAATTTAAAACTTGATTCAATCAAGTTAGTATAATTAGAAAAATTCTGCTCATATGTGTATGCGTCATTTGAACTTAGAACCAACAATAATTTGATGAACTATCACTTTTCTAAGAAGTCACAAATAAATGCGAAATTTATTTTCATGTTCAACTAAAATATTGGTTTTAATAGATGTCTAGTTAATGTTATATCTAAATGTATGATCGGACACACAGTTTTGTAGAATGTTTTGTTCCTTTTAATGAATTTCTAGTCAAAGAGTTACACAAAAATATTTTTAAAATTAATTGTCAAGTCATATACTCTTATTCTTGATTATACAACTCTAACAACAATGAACATCTTAATCAATGTTAAAAAGAACTTATACTATTGATATCGAAGATATATCAACTATATATTGCAAACCAATTTCTTCTTATTTCGTCAGAAATATATGGGCAAGACTGTAATTTTTTATATTCATAGACTGTATGATGGTGTACCTTTTTGCGCAGAAAAGACATATTTATCATTAATAATTGGTCACACTTTTTTTAGTTGAAGAAGTACAGGTGCACACGTTTGTATCAAAAAACTCTTCTTACTTCTCTCTGAGTGAATTGAGACATTTTTTTGAATTTTGTAGAATTTTTTTAATATTTTCATATACAGATAATTATCAGTTGCATACAATATTTCTTGAGAAAGTAGATCTACTCTCAAACTTAAAACTGTTTCATGGAAAAAGAGGTATCTTTCTAATTTAAATAAATGCATTGATTTTTCATAATTATATCAAACCTCAATTTTGAGCGACATCTTTTGACATGTAATTTCATCATTACTTCGTATTCTGTTGTTGTCGACAAATCATTCTCCATCTTATTTGTTACAGTTATTCGTCATTTCAATAGTCATAATAAAATAAAATACCTTCTTGAAAGGAAAAGAAAAGTAATTGTAGAGTTTTCTTAACATTTCAATTATATATTTCTTGTAAACAAAAAAGTCTCCCTTTTGTTTTACAGATCAAAAATATTCATTCGTAAATTGAATATTTCCTTGTATTACAATTTGTCCTTCAAATCAAAATAGTTATTTCAAATGGATTTTTCCCCAGGATTTCATGATATTCATTCACATCAGGTTTGTTGTTCAACATATATTTGTTTTCGTCTCTTTTATCCGTTTGTTTTAATATTCAGAATGAACAACATGCATCACCAATGTCATTACCGCCATCATCAGCAGCACCACGAAGTGTTGCATTAAAAGAAGAGGCATATGCAGTGAATATGGATACAATACAAACTACACAACATTATCCATCAATTGCTTCGAAAATAACAACAAATATGGGCCCACCACCATCTGTTTTATCCTATCATCAAAATTCTGTTGCACCATCAACACCATTTTCAGCAGCTGCAACACCATTTACACCTCGACCAGCAGATGTATCACATTTACAACCAAGTTTACAGTAATAAATAAAACGATAGATAATGAATTGTTTTATTTTCTAAATAATTTCTCTTCAGAAATATTGTATCAACAGTTAATCTTGGTTGTCAATTAGATTTAAAACGTATTGCATTACAAGCACGTAATGCTGAATATAATCCTAAACGTTTTGCTGCTGTTATTATGCGTATTCGTAATCCACGTACAACAGCATTAATATTTGGTTCAGGAAAAATGGTATGTACAGGTGCTAAAAGTGAAGAAGATTCATTACAAGCTGCTCGACGTTATGCTCGAGTTATACAAAAACTTGGTTTTCCTGTAAAAAAATATTTTTAAGATCTTATTTTTACATATTTTCTATTGATTATTAGGCAAAATTTCGAGATTTTAAAATTCAAAATATGGTTGGAAGTGTTGATGTTAAATTTCCTATTCGATTAGAAGCACTTGTATTAAAACATTATCAATTTTGCAGGTTTGAATAATGAAGGGAAATATTTTCTTTCAAAAAAAAATTCTTTTATTTAAGTTATGAACCAGAATTATTTCCTGGTTTAATCTATCGAATGATGCATCCAAAAATTGTACTATTAATATTCGTTTCTGGTAAAGTCGTATTAACTGGAGCAAAAGTTCGTCGAGAAATTCATGAAGCATTTGAACGCATTTATCCAATCCTTAAAGGTTTTCGCAAATAAACATTTGTTTACTTGTTGTATAGAAATAGTTACGGTGACTTATATATATATGTATATGTATACAACTTTTTCTTTATTGCTTGTTTCTTAGTACTATATAAATGTGTTATGACAACACACAGATTCTGTCTGTTTATTTGTTGTTATTGTTTTTTTTTATTTATGTTAATATAAAAAAAAAAGATATTGTTGAGTCAGGATAAATGTTCACTAGATAAACTGATTAATTCTATAATTTCAATTGCAAAACACAAATATAATTCTATGATTTTTCTATATAATTTCAACAAAGGAAGTAAACTTTAAGAATTTCTTTCATTGCATGAGAATCTTTGAAATAGTGATGCATGATTCAATGTTAACATTCTTTTATGTATACTTATGTGAAAGCATAATATTTTTATTTTGTTCTTTTCTTATCCTTGCAATTAAATTGCGCAAGTACGGTGAAATTATTACGAATGAGTTGAGCAAGTCGCTTGCGACAGTATAAAAAGAGCGTCAATATACCATATAAAGTGTTTTTTTTTCGGCGTTTTTTCAGGTAAGGTTGTTTCACATAATATATACCTTTTTATTATTTAAAATAATAACATAGATTCGACACTCAGTAAACTGAGCCACTTGTTATTCAATAATTAAATAAAAGTAAAATTAGAAATAATGATGTATTTATTGATGTATAATAGTTGTTTTTCTTTTAGTGGTTCGTGGACGTGGATCTTCAAGAGGACGAGGTGGAGGTCGAGGCCGTGGTCGGGGTCGTGGCGGTAGTCGAGGTACTGGTGGTCGTGGACGTGGTCGAGGTGGTGCATTTGCACGTGGCGGAAGACGTGGAGTAGGTCGACAACCACGAATGGATACTGATCAACAAGCATCCACTACTCCAGCTGTTGATCTTGATATAAATGGTGATCCAAAACCTTTTTTTGTCAATGCTAATGTAACATTAGATCAACATATTCAAGCACAAACAACAAATTTACCACGTTATTTAGCTGCACTATTTTCTCTTGATACGAATAGTGTTGAAATTGGTCAGAAAGCCAAAGCATGTGCCTTAGCTGCTGCATGGTGTCGACATGATCATAAATTAGCTAATAATCTATTACGTCATCGACGTTTATTTACATTAACAGAAGTTCTCAAAGCTGTAACTATGTTAGATGCTGCTCGACAAATACGTGTTTATGAAAAAAAATTAAAACGTTTAGAATTAAGTAAAACAAAACCTAAAGCAACAAAATTAGGAAAAATAAAAAATAACATTGATAATTTAAATAAACTTAAACCATCGAATGGTTCAGCTAGTGGTGCTGTTGCACGACATATTCAACGTTGGACACGTACATTAACAAAACAAGAATTAGAATATTTTGCCTTGCATATGCCAACAGAACCATGGAAAAAATTAGCGGATATTGTACATTTTAATCCAACAAAAGATTTTCCTGCTTTACCATGGTTTTTACCATTTTGTTTTGGTACACCAGCTCCAAGTGAAACAATGGTTGCACGTTGTAGAGATTTAACTAATGAGAATGTGAATGACTTATTAAAAGAATTTGCTATACCATATTCACATTTAAAACAATTTAAAGAACAATTAAATGAATCATCAAAAGCAAAAATTGCAGCTAAAGAAGATAAACTCGATACTATTTTATGGTATTATGAAGATTTACAATGTGAACCTGTTGATGATATTATCGTTGAACGATTACGTAATGGTGAACAAATTACTTTACCTTATGGTAAATTAATGGAACGTCTTTTACTTTGTCGTTTATTACGTGAAGGTCAATCAACAACTGGTGGTCGTTATGGTCGTCGAGCTACTCAAACTACACCATCAGCTACACCAGCACATCCAGAAAAAGCAAAATTCTATTCAGATCTATTACCAACAGCACAAGCTCAATTAGAAAAAATTAAATTACCATTAGAATCACCTGTAGCAGTTATTGGTGATGCATCAGGTTCAATGGAAGTTGCAATTCGTACAGCAACAATTCTTTCATCATTACTTACAGCAATTTGTTCAGCTAAACTTAATTTCTTCAATGATAAAGTGTTTCAACCATCTTTCATCCCTAAAACACTTGAAGATGTTTTATCATTAGCAATTATAACACAAGCTGATGGATCGACAGCTAATGCTGCTGGTCTTGTACCATATTATGATGCTAAAGAAGTAATTAAAACATTTGTTATGGTAACAGATGAAGAAGAAAATGCAGATGGTAAAACAGCTGATGGTTTTTCGGGAAGATTTTTTGAATTATTTATGAAATATCGAGAACAAATCTATCCAGCTAAACTTGTTTTTATCTCATTTCTTTCTCATCAACATGCTGAAGGTCAAATGTATTCACAATTTAAAAATGCAAATGTACCTGATGTTCTTCAAGTAAGAATTTAAAAAAAAACCTTATGTTCTTTCTATTAATATATGAATTTTTGTTTAGTTTAAATTCAATCGTGAACGTCCTGATTTAACTAAAATTGATAATCTTATTGGTTTACTATCAACAGGTTCTTCAGCATCATTCGATAATAATCTTGAACCATTACAAGCAGAATTTCAAGCAAATGGTGTTGAATCCGTAATAACACGACTAATAGGAACACAAGATGAAAATTCTGCTCCAATGGATGTTCAAATGGAAACATCAGCAGCAAATTAAATTTTGATTTTTTTTTGTTATAATTGATAAATACAAATAAAACTGTAAAACTAGTTTCATAAATGAAAAGATTTTTCCATAGACTATAACTTATACATATAACAATTTTATTAATGTATACTTTCAATGGCATGAGATCGAGCTGATAAATTTGCTACTGAGCTTTAGAATAGTCACAGTTATGTTATATAGTTGATTCTGTGCGTGTGCTAATCATATGCCTCATATTGATAGCGTAAGAAGTCATACAAACTATCCTGAATAAGAGTGGATATATGAAGTTTGTCAATCCGATGTAAGATTGACTCTATCTCAGGCAGTGTTTTGGTGAGCATTTACGTCTAAAAAATAAATATACGCTTTTCACTTAAATTTTATTCGTATAGTAATAATAGAATGACGAAGCATATTTAATGTGAGTTATCATATTGCAAATCGTTTACCGTTGAAACTAAATATTTTGGTGGAAATTATAGATGATTAACGCTCCTTATAAATCATAAATTAAATGAAAAATCAAAGGTTTTATGTATTAATTTTAAACAAATTTAAGTAAAAGCTTATATTACAACCATTTCTATTATTCTTACATAGGGTGTGTCGATCAGTTTGTATGTAGGCGTGTATAATCTACAAAACTCAAGTTTATTCGATTTTGAAACTAAATTTCAATCTTTCTTTTTTATTTTATTTACTTCTTCTATAGTTTGATAAGAATGTAAATACAACAGTGATGAATCTTAGTTTTAATCTTATAAATAAACTCTTCAATATGTGTTGAGTTTATACAAATAATTAATTTTCTAGTGTTGATTAGTGTTGAATAAAGCTTAATTATTTAATCTTTGTAATACGGTAATATTATATGATGCCAGAATATGCATTGAAAATATTAGTATGTTTTTGTACAAACATGTAATATAGAAGTCTTATAGGGATTGATATTTTGTTATACAAAATTTATCTAAAACTATTGTTCACAAGAATTTAAAACTGCACATGTTCTAAATTAAGGCAATATCAAACTATTACACAAAGAGAGATGAGATATTTCTATTGAACTGATTAATTATCTCGGGAAATTTTGAGATTAGTTAAACATAAATTAAAAATTCATCGTGAACTATAACTTAATTGTAAAAATCCGATGTGTACAGTGTTTATATTAGTAGTAACTTCAATTTTAACATATCAATGCAAAGATCAGTAAATAAAGATCTGTCAAGTGCAATCGATAAGAAAATCAATTTCATTATTGTTATGATCTATGTGGATAAAGATACTTGAATATTTCAATTTGTTTTTATTGAATTCATCGATCTGACAACTTGTTAAGATTATTATTGATACGAAGAGAGTATAAGAACAGTTACTTTAGATAAAAAGAAAAATTTCCTTGAGAGCTATG